AAAAAAAAAAAAAAAAAAAAAAAAAAAGCAGCATTTCTTTCAGAAAAGCTTTGTTTTTGTAATATTTTAATAGTGCCCGGAAACTACAATTAAAAAAAAATACATGACATTAATGATATATTTAACGATAGAGAAAAAATTTTACTGGACAAAAAATTTCTACCTTCAATTTTGCAATCATAAGAATAAACCAAAAAAATCAAACTTTTGAAATTTTAGAAAATGTAAAGAAATTTTGGAAAACAGACGTATGCAATCTTTTTTTAAGTGTACTCTACTCTTTCAAAGAATGTAAAGAAAAAATTTGAAGCCGTTTTTTGAGAAAATTTTTAAAATATCCCTGATTTTCATGTTAAGTACCCCCCGATTTATAAAGAAGATTTTTCAAAATCGCAAAACTTCGAGTGGAGCCAGATTAACTGGTAAATATCTTTTTTAAACGTCCTTCATATGGCTTAGGTACTACTGGTGTTCACAGAGAGATGGATGTACGTTTTGGAAAGAGGAAGAGATGAGAAGACAAAAAAAAAAAAAAAAAATCAAGATATCAAAACTTGTATATCCGTTGAAAAAAATCAAATTTCAAAATCTATTTTCCACAGCATACATAACTTTTTCTACACTACATACATCACATTTATTTACAAAAGTACAGCTTCTCCTTTTTGCAAGTGATTGTATGATTTTTATGGCCATTCGATCTAGTACCGATGTGATTGCCTTACAATATGAACTTGATTTATTTGTAAATTGGTGCTTGTTTAATGGCCCGACTTTAAACCCAAATAAATGTATGCACATTAAATTCACAAGATCTATAATAAACATATGGTCAACATAAGATTCATTATGTTACATTGGAAAAGTTTTCTTCTATTCGTAATCTGGGTGTAAATTTTGACAGTGGAATGTTACTTCTGGATCACCTCGATTATTATAACTAAATCAAACAGAATACTTGAATATTTCGCTTTGTCCACAGAACATGTTCAGAATCGGTCCAATACACATCTTGAGAGCCCTTTACATTATGCTCGTCAATCCTAGATTATCTTTTGCCCCTCTGATTTGGTCGCCATATCAAATTTTTCATATCAAACGTCTTGAAGTTATCCAACACAGGTTGTTTAGAATGGTTGCCTTTAAACTAAACTTTCCTGAACCTTATAAAACCCATGATTACCCACCAATGGCTTGGTCACTCAACATCCCCACACTCAAATCTTATAGAAACAATACATCTCTTATTTTCACAGAGAGCCTTTTTCTGCTCCAGCAACTTTGCTTCAGAGTTCCTGGTCTCAATTTTAGAAGTGTAATTTTTTTTTTACACTACTATGCTCACAGCCTCATACACCAACTATAATCCTATAAATAAAACTTGTACCATAGTCAACACACTCAAAATTGATATTTAGAACCATCATATCTAACATTTAGAAATAATTGCGAGAAGAAATGCTTGAATTCGCAAGATTTTATTCACTTACTTATACTCCACGAACTGTTTTTCTCCACGAGTTCATAAAAAACATTGTAACAATACATTCTATGTGTCATAACTATTTTGCCTAGAAAAGGACTTAGATCTATGAATTTTTGGAAATAATTAAAGAAATAAATATGCATGTACGCACATGAGAAAGAAAAAAATCACTGCATGTTATATACAGTCCCCCAGTTATAGTTAACTTCTGGAACTAAAATTTTGGGTTCACTAAATTGGATGATGTCACTTAAATAACATTTCTCCACAATGATTTATATTATAAATATAGAGATTCAGCAAAATAAATAAATAGTACGAACTAAATATGTCAGTATCATTATTTGACTTTCAACTCTCAGCTTCGTATATTTTTCATTAGTAATTTCTCTAGACCCTTGCCTAAAATTCGTGCTGTCTCCCTACTTTATTCCGTATTGTCCACTGTCTCCACGTATCATAATACAGTTTTCAGACACTTCAATGCCTCTTGCATTATAAGAACACCAGCCCACTCTCCACACGCTTGTCACCTTCGTACTGTAGCAAATGCTCTTAGTCCCAAAGAATCTCAAGTAACATCAAGGTCGAAACTGAAGCAAGCAGTTGCACTTCACCACCAGTTGTAGCCCACTCAGAACACTAACTTCGTTTCCGCAATGAAAGTGAGTGGCACAAGGTTATCAGTGACTTCTCCATTCTGCTATTTCAACCTCAGGAGAGACTTCTTTGACCATGACCTTCGGCCAACAATGCTTTCTCCAAGCTGCCTAGCGTTGTAATTTAGGGCGCAGATGTATTTTCCCCAGGAGGGAATTAATTTCCAAGATGCTGAGTTTACTAAGTTCACTATAGCCAAGGTGCAGAGTTCACTAAAACCAAATCTTAGAGTGCCAATTTGTAATGTAAAGTAAACTGGTGCAGTGACAAGTTCAGTAAATTTCAGTTCACTTTAACTGGAGTTGACTATATAGGCAATCGAAAACTTTCGTCATCAATGAGTATATTCCGAACCCTTTCCAATCAACTAGCAAACTGTACACTATTTTGTCAATCGCTGGAGACCTAGTCGATGCAAATGTATCATTTAGTATGAATTGTTGCACAATATTACGTGTAATTTATGCTTTTTTTGAAGCTATTCAGTTTTATAATTGCCTTTAACTGTTATTACCACATTTAGTCTGTTACTGGCAACAGTAATTAGATGGTTGTTAAATTTTCCATAAATTTCTTCATCTCTAAAAGGTCTAATATTGGGTATATATTCTGGAAATTTTCAACTAATTAGTATATTTTAATGGGACGGTCATTCGCGTCAGTACGTCGTGCGGCGCGTATATAACATTTTGTTCTATGCAACGTTGCTGTGTGAGGAGGGCGGGAAATGTGCATCACGCGGGGGAAAAAACGCGTGACGCGCGCACGCCAATCACGAAAAACGAAACCGGGGAGGGCCACGTGACTCGTGAACCTGAGGAGGTAGTTGCAACACACAAGCTCGGTCATTCCAATATCAGGCGACAGCCTTTCCGAGTTAGAGACGAGGGCGAGGGCGAGGGCGAGGGCGAGGGCGAGGGCGAGGGCGAGGGCGAGGGGACGCCAGTGAATGCGTCACCACATCGTCGCCGCCCGAATGTACCATCGTCATATCGCGGGTTGTGGGGGTCGCTAACTCAAGGGCCAACGCCATGACCAATAACGTGGGTGCCCGACCTCGAGTCCAGAACTGACGACGGGCCGAGGCGCAATCACGCCCCCTGCCGCTCCGACCGCCTTGCAAATGGGCAAAGGGGGTGAGGCGAGTTGCTGCCGCCGCCTGACCACAGAGTCGCGCCAAGCACCAGGGCGAAGGGCTGCTGCTCCCGTAACCAGTCGTGACCGCCGGGAAGGGCGCCACCCTGTTTCGAAGGATGAACTCTGGCCCGTACGGCCGAATTTAAGATAAGTTAGTTGTAAGCTAGTTTTAAGGAGTAATTATAACGAGAGGCTTTACCTCATGAAAACGGAATATTGAATCCACCTTTGAAAATACCACGTGTTTCAATACAGTACTAGAACGAGAATAAGCCCTATCACGCATGCCCCCCTTTTAAGAGTCTACGGACTGAGCAGCCGGGACATCGCCGTTCGTGAGGTTACAATATAAAGAATGCAAGCAAAGGCAGTTCAGAAGTACGTGAGGCGGCGAGTTATTTGACTCTCTCTCTCCCTCTCCCCCTCCCTCTCTCTCTTTCTAGTCCCATAAGTGTAGTGTATGTTATAACCGTTGTTGTTGTTGTGGTGGTGGTGGTGGTCCTCCACTAAGCGAGGTCCAGAAGGTTGGTGTACACAAACATATCCACCACGTCTCAACATAAGTTACAGGTTTATTTTGATTTCATTTAGTGACTAATAGCTTCTTGCAACAACTTTGGCACAAATGTTATTTCATGTACTTTGAGCTCAGCATCTGTGTTCAAGACTGAGGAGTATAATCTGAACACTTTTCAAAAACATTTTAAATACATCAAATAGTTAATATTTTGAAAAATCTTTATTTCCCACCATCCCTAATATTTAGAATATACAATTGCCACTATCCAAGCCACTAGCCAAGTAACTGGGGGTACGACAGAAACCTGAGACGTTGGTCCACAATGTGTTAACTTATAAGTGCACTTTGCACTGAATCCTGAAAAATGTTTGGTGGAGTGTCCTAGAAAAGTTTGAAAATGCAGAAAGACCTTTCTTCAAGACACACTAAATTTAAATACTTTTTTCTATTCTAAAAATTTAAATATTTAATCTAATTTAAATTCATACAACACCCAAACTTGAGAGTAACTTTTTGGACAATTCTAAAGATCTAAGGACCCACAATACACACTTTGGATGAGTCTTTTCCAAGATATAATCTGCGCAGTGCTTGGTCACAAAAGAGATGCTGGTCAGTCAAGAAGTGAAGATACAGTGAAAATGTATGCGATGTTTGGCACCAGAAACAGATTGCACAACAGCATAACACAAGAAGCTTATACCTTCAATACAAAGCCAACATTGGGTAAGGTAATATTTCAACACTGATGAATGTGTCTGCATGTGTGTCTGCAGTAGCAAGAAGGGAGACAGCTGCGCTGCTACAACAACTCTCCTGCACACAAGACATCCTGCCACTGAGGGAAAAATCCCCTGGCATGTATGAGAGACTGCTCGCAAGTAGAAGAGATATTCTGTACATAAATGGCACCTCATGAGATAATGAGAGGCCAAATGAGCTCTAATTTCAGAAGTAGAAAAAAGGGAAGGATATGCATTTTTGGTGAAAAAAGATAAGTAAAGGAGAGAATACTTACCTCTATGTCTCTCAACGATAAATACTGGCATTCAACATCAAATTTCTCAGGTTTTACCCATGAATAATTAAAGTTTCCAGCATTCAAAAATACCTTATTTCCTCTTTTGGTATTGTAAATTATCCATTTCCCTTTGAAGTTTGCCATCTAACAGGTATTAAATGATATTAAAAAACAGATTAAATGTGCATCAATTACAGTAAATAACAAATCTTTTTCACAGAATTGAAATCCTTTTAACATTATTTGTTTTGTGGATGAAATTTTTACTTCTGTAAGTTTAATGCAATATATGTATTGAAATCTTAACAAATCTTTTAAAGATATTATAAAAACTAACGTAGAAATTTTTTTCAGTTTTAGAATTATTACCTTCTTTTGTTTATACTTCTTCAAAACAGAATAACATCGATTTATGGATAAACCTGTCACATTAAATCCTGCATCAGTAAGAGCATGCATTGTAAAATCTGGATCTTCTTGTTGCAAAGCCATATTTATCTGAGATACAGATGCACACACTAAAAAAGGAAAACAAATTTTAAGAAAATAGTTTTAGTTCATAATGTGAAAACATATTGCAACAATGTACCTTTTTGGACTTCATGCACTTCATGAAGCATATCTTTCACAACTGCATGAACATCCTCCAACCACAGTTCAGATCCTTCTCTTTGTTTCTGACGTAACTATAAAAGCAAAATTAATCACTCTAAAGATACTAGTTACTTTGTAATCAAGACTTACAAACATTGAATATTTCTGCCTTGACACAAAAGCATAATGGTTTTTGTGAAAGGTGGGTCCTTTATGTCAAAGAGGTTTAAGGCTCCCAGTGTGACCACCCCAAATTTTGGGAAAATTTTGTATGCAAAGTCTCGCCTTATTTACTTGGCGTTCCATGGCGAAGAAGCCGATGTTACGGTCGCCATTCTGCGACCTTCCTCAGGGTGTAATGCTAATGGTGACCGAAAAGTCAGCACCTTCGCCATGGATGCGGCGTCACCCGGACAGCCGAGTAAATGCTGACTCCAGCCGCGGAAGCCTACGGTCTCAAGTCTCGCCTTCTCAAAAGGAACTGTTGTGCAGTTGTAGCTTTATAGGTGAAATAGTTTTTACGATATAGCAGCTTTTTGACCTTGTGCATAGTTTCGCAACTTTGAGATACATAAATGAAACTGAGCTTTTGTTTTTTCACCCACCCATTCAATATTCACTTCCACTGTTCTCATATGAGAACAAATTTTCTAAACACAAATTCTAGAAACAATTTTTTTCAAGTTATTAATTACAAGTTTAAGGAAAATGCTTAAATTAACTGTAAATGGGCAATTTTAGTGTTTTATAATTGCCACTATACAAATAGAACTGGAGTTTAAAGCTATAAGACATATCAGAATTTTGTAGAATATAGTATAAAGAAACTAGCAGGTGCACATGCAATCAACACACAACCATTATCCATATCTCAAAAACAGTGGGACTAAAGACCTTTAAAACCCTTTCTACTGCCACAGTAGGGTTACGAGTTAAATACATTAGTCTGTAATACACAAAAGAAGCCTTTTGAAACACTATTACTTCTATTACATGATAGCACAAGGTGCCACAGCTGGAGTTGATAGAAACTAGGCTGCCCAGGAGATGTCACATTTCAAGCACAGTTATATGGATGCCATACTGCAATCTTTCTTTGGGGCAAAACAGTTTTGACCAGACAAAGATGGCATTAAGACAGCCAAAATGTTGGCAACTGTGCCTAGGATGCAGAATCTCTCAGAGAGCCTAGTTCATAATTTTATTAAACATTTGAAAATTAACTTCTGGGTACATTTCACTTCTTTAACATGAGATAAAACTAAAAGCGTAAAATATTGAAATTAGGCAAATTGAATTGACTAATTCTGTGCAACTAAATTAAATATTTATTTGGCCTTTCACTGTCATTTTGAATATCAAGCTATTTTCACTTACACAACAATGACTTTCTTGTGGAGTGTGTGCAGAGGTCCAGTTCATAGAATATAAATTATTACGTTCATTGAATTATTTTCCAGTGAGTCTCTGAACTCATAAATTATAAAGATACTAATAATAATGGTTATCGTGAAAGGAAATGATCATCTGGTTTCATGTAATGGATTTCATAAAATGTACTCAACTTTTCCACAATGGCACAAACATTGAAAGCAACTGGACTAATTAATTATTTTATGCAGTTGAAAAGCAATTTGAAAAGAACAACTGACACAATAACTCAAATACTAACCTCTAACATTGAGAGAAATAGAGAAGAATCAACAGAAGAGACATTATCAGTCAATCCAAGAACAGGATTTTTAAGAACATTTTCTACTGCTTTAAAATCTCTCTTCTTAACAGCATCATTTAATAAATGTAATGCTTGAATAACTGGAAAAACAAACAAACAAGTTTACTTCTTCTCCTTCAACGACAATATTTTATAAATAATATTTCTTCCATGCATTATACAATAAGTGTATCATCTCACCTAAATTACTGTTTTCATAATGTTCATTTACAGAATCAATACAATTCTGTATATCAAAATAAGTTAAAATTTGACAACTACATTTCTCATATAATTTCGACTGACGGGCTTTAGCCAACTCCTGCCAGTATTTCACTTTATAATGGTAATCCAATCCCTGAAAGAATAATATTAACAAACTTATTTTAAGACAAATTTATTTTGAGACTTACAATCGCCAGACTTATAAAAGAAAGTATCATTAGATATACATTTCTTATCGCAATATACTGTAATGTCTGAAAGCAAAAGTAATAGTTAACTATGTTGAGCATTAGACATTAAAATCAATAATACAAGTATTTATTAATTTATTCAGAAAACTTATATGGCCATATTTAAGGCAAACCATTTTCTCAAAACTATTGCATTTATTAAACCATTATCATATTCATTCAGCACAACTTTTCGTGGCTCACAATTTGCCTTATCAGGCTGTGTTTAACAGGCACGATAACAGCACGAAATTTGAAAACATTGTTTGGCAGATACTAAAGGTCATAATATTATCAAAGGACAAAGTATTAAAATTCCATTCATACTGGCAACCTGCCTGTCTGGCGTGTCAATTGTTATAAAACTGAGTCTTGACAACTGAGAGTGACATTTTTGACAATTGATTGAGTTATCACAATTGGCACGCCAGACTGACTATCTGTCAGGGTGACTGGAATTTTAATATTTTATTTGGCATGTCCTTTGATATCTGTTGAATGTTAAATTTAATTATTTTGGCGAATTATGCCTATTACACACTAAACCTGATAAGGCAAATAGTGAGCAACCAAACATTCCGCTGTACGAATACAATAATGGTTTAATAATAAATACAAGAGTTCTGAGAAAATGGTTCATCTTAAACTTAGCCATAGTTTCCTGAGCAACTGAAACTGACAAATAATAAGCATGATACTTTATTTAGTTCACAGTATAATTTTCAACTCCTTTTTTACTGATTTCAGAGTAAGTACTTACAGAAAAATGAGTTTTAGGGTGAGTGAGAGCTTTCCATGTCTCTTGAGGATCTCCTATGTCCACAGCCTTTGTAACTGTAGCAATGAGGTTAAGAGTCTGCAATTGCCTGCCTATTTCTTCATATACCAGTTTCTATAAAATCAAAATATTAATTTTTCAGAAGAAGAGAGAAAGAGAGAGAGAGAGAAAAAGAGAGAGAGAGAAAGAAAGAGAGAGAGAGAGAGAAAAAAAGAGAGAGAGAGAGAGAAAGAAAGAGAGAGAGAGAGAAAGAAAGAGAGAAAGAAAGAGAGAGAGAAAGAAAGAGAGAGAAAGAGAGAGAGAAAGAGAGAGAGAAAGAAAGAGAGAGAAAGAGAGAGAAAGAAAGAGAGAAAGAAAGAGAGAGAAAGAGAGTCCTAAGCAAACCAGTCCGTTTTTAAATATTATTGGATTTATAGGTTTATTAATTAACACGTTCATACTTTTAAACTCTTTAATTTTTCGAACTTTGAATTCATATCAAAGGATCACATTAGTATTCAATAAAACAGAGCTACATTGTATACCCAATTCGTTTGACAGGTTTTAAAACAGTTTAACACTCTCGAAGACCACATCACACTAGGCAATTATCAAAAAGAAAAATAATGGATATTTTAACGAAATAGTGATTTGTAATGAATTAGTTTATGTTTGTATTGTATAAGTTTTTAAAAAGACTCAATATTCTTGTAACAAATAATGTACGTCAGCTTCTGGGTCAATGACTCTCAGCTCAATCAGGTTTTTGTCCAGTTTCCCTGACCCATTGAGTAAATGCTGAGATGGCCCCTTGTTTTGCTTCTGGACGTAAATGTAGCTTCACTATGCACATGCACACGTTTTGTTGAACTCTCCTTTTGCTTGTAGTGGTAGGAGTAGAGGTAAGGACGAGTTACTATTTTGTTAGTGATGCAGAAAGCAAAATCTGCAGTTCGTTAAACATTGCAAATAAATTTTCTATAACTTGGGAATGAAAATGTCTCGTTTTTCAGATTTTTTTGATGTGCAACACATTCAAAACCTGCCTATAATTAACACATTTTAAACACCAGGTAAGATCTGACAATAAAAGTAAAAATGTTTAGTCAAAGTATTAGAAATGGTATTAAATAAATCAGTTGTATTAGCGTGTTCTATTTCATTATCAACTTCCAAAAAGAATTTCTGTATTGATAATTCCATCATGGGCCCATTTGGTTCAATGGAATCAGCTGGCCCAGTTGCATCGTAAAAATATGTTGCTTGGAAAAGGGTTAAAGGTGCAATTCTTAAGGCCAAGTGAATGATCTCAAAAGATGTAATCCCGCCCCCACCCCAAGAAAAATTCAGTTCTTCTACATTCTTAGAGAGAGAAAAAAGTTAAGATCTATATTTTAAACCGATTTCAATTGAAGTATTCAATGGGAATCTATGTGAATCAAATAGAAAGGATTCTTCACCACAGATAAAACAAAAAGCTAAATCATCCCCCCACCCGTGAATTTTGTTAATACATTGAAACAAAGTCAATACCTTCCTTAATAAAATCTTACAAGTTTTCTTACCAATTGTAATAATTATAAATAATGCACTAAAACAAAATCAATTTACCCCAGTGTCTTCCAAATCTGCTTTCAATTCTTCAAAATAGAGTGGGGATGCAAAATCTTCAACTTCCATATCCAATACATCATTTTTTAATAACTTCAATAAATCTTCATGAGATCGTGAACTGGAGCGAAGGCATTTCTCAATTCTCTGCATCACCTTTGACACTAAATATTTTTTTAATTACTAAACTAGTCAAAAAATAACATATCTTGCATTCACTGCTGTTGCAGTTGTACCTTCATTTTGGAGATGAGCTTTCTTATTTCCTTGAATAACAACTTTTTGTAAATCACCACAAATATTTAAAGTCGAGAATTGTTCCAATAATCTTTTCTCCATTTTCAAAATTTCTTCCACATAAAAAGGTTCATTTTCCACATTGACATTCTGTGGGAAAAAGAACATCACACAAATTAGGCAGTCATAGTAATAGAACATGTATAAGTGGAGTACATCATTTTGTATACATTAACACATTGTATTCATTACCAAATCTAATAGACACAAAGTGGTAGCACAACATTGACAAAAAATTTAAAATTTGACACTGCTTGTTTTTAGGGACCTCTGAAATACACAACCACTAACAATGGTTAGCATGACCCCCCCTCCCACATTCTAACTTCATGAAATGAAGAAACTCATTTATTTACCCAATTATATCTTTAATGCCATTTTCTAATATTTGTTTATTTCAATTTGAGGAACAAACTTACAAAATTCACGGCATATATATTCATCCTTAACATTATTTTAGGCACTTGGTTTTACGAGGTAACCACCTACAATAGATCACTTCTAGAGAACCAGAAATTCCGAGTGAGAACTGGTGGTTTTCTCTCTTCCAAAAAGCCTCTCCTCAGTGGTGTTCCACAAGGTTCAAGGTTATGGGCCCACTCTTCTTCCTACACTACGTAACTGACCTCTGAAAACTGATGGTCTCGTCCGCAGAGCATGCTAGCGGTTAAACAGTTCTGGCGATATTCTCCAAAATTGATATTCCCTTTCCAGCTGGATGATGCCACTTGAATTGGAAACAAATTTTAATTTTGGGAGTACTTACATTAAGTCTTTGGGACATTACCACAAATTTCAAAATAATGGCTCCAACAATTTTGTTTAAACTGATTTTTGACGGAAAATTGACGGCAGATTTTTGGCAGAAAAGAAGTATATTGCCGGGCCCTGATAACGAAAAAAAAATAAATCCAGTTGTTAAATCAAGGGGGAGGGCAATTCTATTACTTGGTGTAGCCAGAACCCTTGTGTTGTCTGTCCTTGATACAAAAAAATCAATTGAAGCCAAAACGTCGACCAGTCTGATCACCATTCGCAGAATTTTTTCAAATTGAAGAAATCTCTGTCGATCTGGCTCGAGTTGAAGCCAGCCGAGTTTTTGAAAAACATTCTTTAATTTTTTTTACATAAAGCCCCTGAGTCATTTTCAAAATTTTCCCAAAAAAGGCTCCGAATTTTTTCTTTAAATTTCTTGTACAAATATAGCGAAATAACCTATGAAGGTGGCATATTATAGTAAATATAGAGAAATACAATTATAAAGGAATCCGATTTTGAAGGTTAACTCTGAATTTTCGAAAATTTCAAAAGTATGGATTTATTTCGGCTTCTTCTAGCAACTACGGAACTGAAGGTAGAGATTCCTTCAAATAAATTTTGTTCTATATACTTAGTTCTTAATATAAGGTCATGTTCAATTAAAAAAACTTTAGTAAACTTTGCGCAATAATGCATTAAATAAGTGCAATTTTAAAAATTTACAAAAACAATATTTTCTCGAAAACTGCTCCTATTTTTTCCGTTAAACTTTTGGTAGAGATAGTGTTATATGTACGCTATGAGATGACAAACGCCATATTGCTATATTCTTTACTTTTTTTTCTCTTTCAAAAACTGGAATTTTTTTTTTATTACTAGCCTCTCATGTATTTTCACGTGCGGCAATTTCTTTCCATTATTGCATTTATGAGTACGTGCGCTTCAAATGATCCCATATAAAGTTTCTCGAAAACTCAAAATACCGCATTTTCAGACGCGCTCAAACATTTTCACGGCTGCTCCAAGGCTACAATTTTTTCTTCTAAATTTTCCTGTCGGTAGTGCTAATTACACTGTTTAATATGCCACAAAGTTCATTTTGCGGGATTTTTTCGTTTTCAAAAATTACGCAAATGTATTTTTTTAAGTAACTCATGACGTGAATACGCACATTTCCAGCAATTTATATAAAAAAGCTATTGTATTTGTTAGTAAAAGTGCTTCAAATGAAGTTTTCCGAAAACTCACAACTGTTCTGTAAAAAAAAATTCAAATTTCGCATTTATAGTAATGCTTAAACGCCATTTTAATTGATTGATTGTTTTATTGATTCCGGGTACATCAACTACCAGTGTCATTAGTCCCGTAATCGTAGTGCATTGTTTGCTCTGGAGGTGGCAGTGTCTTTCCCCCGATGTATGGCGAGATCCGGCGCCGACCTACCATCACCTAGCGGGGTTTTCTGCAACCAGGTATCTCACGCACGCGGGACACCGCCCCAGTCGGGATAAGTTCCAGGCTCCCGATCGGTCTCCCAGCATGAGTACGCGTTAGTGCACGAGTACGAGTGAGAGGAGAGCACAAGGAAAATGTAGGGAAAATTGCACGCGGTCCGTAGCCCGTTTGTTAAGGTACTACTGCGACATTCACCTAGTATTGATCGGAGAAACCACAGAAAACTACCGATCAGAGATACCGGTCGCTAGAATTCTCCTCCAGACAGCGCCTGGATTCGACTAGCTAACAAGCTAGTGTCGAAAATCCTGTCACCGTCGCGACTCAAACCTAGGATCTGCCGGTTTTCTTAAAAACAGCTCCAAATTTATAATGACAATTACCAGTTATGACGAGGTTTTCCTGTTTTTTAATATTTTTGAAGTAATATTTCGGTTCTACTATTTAAAAAACAGAAAAATGTACTTTTGGCGGTGATAGATAGCAGATAGTAAGCGTATGTGGCAAGTCCGAAATGGCGCCCCTGCAAAAGAGAAAGAACAGAAAAAAAGAAAAAAGAAGGCTGAGAGTTAGAGCGTGTGCATTCTTAGATCATCAACTTGTATTTATGAGTACATGGACTTGAAATATTGTCATAAAAAGTTTCTCAAAAAAGCCAATTTTCCGAGAATCAAAATTCCGGATTTTTAGAAACGCACAAACGCCATGTCCTCAAAAACAGATCCAATTTTTTTCAACCATTTCGAAGGGCTAGTGCTAATTGAAGATGACCTAAAATTAATTTTACTGTTTTCTTTTGTTTTTTAAAAAATTACACTATTTTTCTTCTTTTAGAGTTGGATCGACGATGGTTTTTCGCTACAGAACAAGGATGGTGTTCTCTTCCTAGAGAAGATTACAAAACCCGAGAGGAGAAATTGCATTGGTCATTTCTGGAAGGGTTTTTAAGAGGATTTGATCGTGGATTTCGACAGAACCTGGAGCTGTAAATTTCGGAAGCGCACGAACAGAGAGACTTTCAGAATGAAGAATTGTTTTCTCCAACCACTTTACTTGAAAAATCCAATGCGCCGGTTTCCACTATTTCTTTAGCCAAAAGAAAGTCTGAAGTGTTGTCCGCCAAACACGATATATAGTGAGCGCGGCCAGTACCCCCCCCCCCCTCACAACGGTGTCCGACATGTCAGCTACCCTTTCTTAAGGCACGACACTGATGATTATCTTCGATGATTTGGCATATCTTCCTCCGTTCAAACGGTACATATTGAGTGGAAGAGACGTACGCTTTCCACAATGAATTTTTGCTTTCTCTTTTTTTCTTTCTAGCATTCGCTCAACACATTTTGTACTGAATATATCGTAATTCAATACACGAGTATGAGAATTTACTAGGAGCTAGGTCTAGAGCACTATTGAGATGTACGGCCATTCCGCCCACATCGTCAAAGGGATCGAGATAACAGAATTAGAGATTCATCTTTGCTGAAAACTTCTCACTTAGCGCCTTGCAAAATCTATTGAATCGTTCACCACCCTCGAACTAGTTCATCAAAGTGGATAATGTTGGGAAAATCGCTTCCGAACCGCTTGTCTAGTGTGATCAATTGCAGAGCGGTTTAAGTTGGCTTAGGGAAATAGGCTTCCCCGAGTTCGCTTCGGTGAAAGACTTTTGTCCATATGCACTGAAAATAGTGGGGTTTAAGGCCGATTCCAAAATCCACACCTCTAACAAGGACGGTGAGTTAGAGTGAGCTTCAGAGATGAGCATTTGAAAAAATGTTTCGATCACACTCGTGCCAGTTAAACTCCATGAGATGGTACTTTTCCATCAGGGGTTCCCAGCCGATTTCTTGCTTCCACCCCATTCAAATCAATGAATTTCTTAATTGACCCCTTCATTTTTTTTCAATTTTCAAAAAATAGTTACATTAACATATTTTCATACCTGAACATTTCCATTTTTAAATGCACAAATATAAACAAGTTTTCAATAACTAAATCACAGATTATTACAGCAGTTTTATTTTGTTAATGTGAATTATATAATTAATTCGCGAATTCGTAATTAATTATTGGGCGTTTTGTAGTTTTGTGACTATAAAAATAATAAAATTGATAAATATGCTGGTCATCAAGGGGATCTGGATCTTTATTATATCAGTCACCACTGCATATTTGGATCTCGACACCCTGGAGAGGATTCCGGACCCGTTGTGAGCCCCTGAGCACTGAAGTGTCCTTCACAGTCGGAATACTTACCTTAGTAGAAAGCAACTAGTCGTAAACCAACGTAGAAGCCACGAGTGCGGATGCCGTCATCAACATGGAGCTTATAAAGGGTAAAACTGCTAAGGAATGGGGGTAAATAGAAGTCTCCTAATTATGAAAGACATTTAACGGGGCAGGTTACCTACGGTTAATTTTTCCCAAATGCTCACTATTCTGTATAATGCAGGCAAGTTTAATGGCGGCGTTCGGCTCGTCTTCTTATGTATTTCTTCTTATGTACGTCATTTACTACGCTAAACGCTTGTGCTGTTTTTTCCGTAATGTGTTTTGTGAGCATTTGCCCGCAGTCTGCATTGTAACGCCTAGGTATCGGTAGTGTGTCACTCTTGCAATTCTGGTGTGTTGTTATTCCTTCTTTTTGGGAAGTTTTTCCACCGTTCCCGAAGACTATCGTTTAAGAAAAATCAATTTACAACCAGGATGGGAGAGTCATACTGGGTGTAGCTCTCTTCCTTCTTGAGCTTCCGTTGTGGTTTCCCGAGGGGGCGAGTGCCCACCCCCGTGAAGCAGCCCTCCGAGGACTGACAGAGGCTGAGCAACAGCGAATCTCATATAGGAGGTAGAACGCGAGCCAAGAAGATCGGGTAGATGTAAGAGTCCAGAATGGACAAGCGTCTGAAATCGACCTTCGTGCGGGGTCGAAAAGAAGTGAAGGCTTGAGTGGATTTCAATGGCTGACTATTTTTCTTAATTTGGTTCTCATATTTGGTAGGAATTATAATTGTCTCACCTTGCAGGCGTGTTGCCTCTTCAGGGATGTTCCCTGAAGACCACTAGCAACAAATGCGCCAACGCGGGCGCAGCAGGAACTGTTCGGCAGCTCGCTGTTACTTTAACGGTCTTACCTCGTACTTTCTGAATCCCTCTCCGTCAGAAAGGTAGGGCGCTTATTGACCTCTGCGACATGATCTTCGCGGCTAACATAATGCTGTGATATAGCGCAGGGTTCTCTCCTTCCTACATTAATTCACACTGCACATACCACATACCGGACTTTCTGACATAAACCTTTGTTGCGTATGGCCGAACTTTTACCACAAAAGGTTAGTTACTATCGTACGCGAAGATTGCAAAATATGTAATAAATCCTTTCTCGCAAGGACGAAATAATAATAATAATCGTTAAAATCAGAGAAGTGAATATCTTTCTATCACGCTCTATCTTGGTCTTGTCAACTTCAGTAACACCGTGCCATTCAAGGAAGGAGAGTTCCTCCCTCGTTTCTGAATCAACATGCTAGGCCACTCCTTTACAAAGGTTGAGGGAAGGGTGAGAAGTCACTTCTACTGTGAGGCTCGCGATTTGCTCATCGGTGCGTACATCAGAGAAAGGTACAATTGCTTTGGAACAACTTTGGTTGGAGCTTCAAATCGAAGCCTCTAACGCTCGCGCCAGACGGATTAACGCGCACACACACGCACGCACTCTTACATGCGTTACACTAACACATATTGGTAGACCAATGGAGAGTTTAGAGTTTGTCCTGGCTGAACCAGTGCTTTGCTGGTGGGCCATTCCTAGATGGCGAAAATCCCGCATGTCGACGCGTAAGTCAGTGCCGTATCTCACCATCCAGTGGGGGAAGACCACGACCTCCCTCGATAAACACTACACTTGCGGGAAAAATCACCAAAGCAGTTGAGGTGCCCGGATGCGATTATAATAATCAATAAGAAATATGTGATGTGGCTCCTGCCCGTCACACCCCAAACTGATGCGTTTCCCAGAAACCACTTTTCAATATCAGAGACCCGAAAACTTGGATTCTGTCAACAATGCATACTCGAGAAAATAATTTAATACAAACGAATTAGATTAATTTAATATAATTCCATCAAACTGTTACAAAATTAAAACTTTTCCAAAATAACTACCAAAGGACTTTGTCAACAATTCCTATCGAGGTACATGTGACACGAGATAAATGTTAATATCAACTTGTTGCTGCTTTCAAATAAAATGAATAAAAATAGGAGCAAGAAAATTCTAATTTTGCAGTGTCACAAATCCATAAAACAAGTTTTTCTGATAAAAAAAATCAAAACTTTTTTCCAGCAGTTTTACAATAATTTCTCTGTGTTACACATGAGAAAGTAACAACAAACACTTATCAGGCTTTATACAAACACACTGCCTGATTACTTAATGATGAATTAATTTTGACAAAGTGTAGTCATGTGTTAAAATAAATTAAAACAGCTGCTGAATAAAACTTCTTTACAATTTTAATTATTTGAGTGAAAGAAAGCCAATGGTTGTGCAACTGACAAAGGAAAAAATTATTAGAAACTAAATGTCAATACATTGATATTAGAAGTTCTAGAAAAAACTTTGCCTATCATTTACATATGCGTTCAAAATATCAAAGACTAATTACTTACCCTCAGTCCAAACCATGGGCTACTTAAAATAGTCATAAAATGTTCTTTATTCATCTTTTTGGCTGCATCAATAAGCTCATGCCTCGAACATGCCACTACACACAGAAAAAAATTCTATGACAACTGTCATTATTAAATTTACCAAAATATATATTTAGAGAGCGTATATACCATTCACTGATGTAATGTGACCTTGTACTTCTGCTTGAGTGAGAAGCTCATCATATTCATCTGCAGTAAAACTCTCCAGGAAAGACTGAAACATCATTATTAAGTTGTCAAAGACCTGAACATAGACAATCTATTTATTAGACTTCTGTACTTTTATTCTTTTGACAATTTAAATCTGGAATACACATGAAATAAAGCTTTCTAGTGAAAAACAGTTGATTATTTGTCAGGGAACCCTTACAATAGCTTCAATAGTAATAAATTAAAAATTTTGTGTGGCTTTTAGATTGCTCCATTGCAAACTATAAACCATCAAAACCAAACTAATGCTGGATGGGGAGGGGAGGGGGCTATTAAAATGTTTGCCTTTAAGGTAATAGCACCCTAGGCCTCAGGCCATGTCAAGCACAAAATTTTAAAAATTAAGACTTGGAGACTTCCTACTTCACACAGAGAAAATATAACATCAGCTGCAACAATTTAACTATCCAAATAGTACATTGACACCTATATAATCTCACTACCTGTGATAGATCAGTCAAGATCTTACATTCCTAAGCAGAGCAACAATACCATGACAAGTTTCTGGTTTTGTACTAGTAAGAGTGATATCGAAGTATCCTAAATTAAAGGTCTGAAGACATATTAGCTTGCTCAAGAGCCAGTCTTTTAGGGTGAAAAGAAGCCAGAAAATAGTATGGCATCGTATTCTGGGTTGTGTCAATTTTAAGTATTTAAATATCTTTAGTGAAAATCAACTAGTAGATGGTATACCTGAAGAATTAGAATTGGTTTACGAAATGTAAAATTTGAATTTAAAATAAAATGCCCAATGTCCCAGTTGAGAAGAAAAGAAGTAGAGCCAAAGAGATTTTGGAAATGGTGCATACTCATCTAAATGGGTCTTTATCTACTTCATATTTGAATGGAGAAAAATGCTTTCTTTCATACATTGACAATTATAGTAAAGATTGTCAAGTCTATCCTATAAAATCAAAAGATCAAGTTCATGATTGCTTTGTTGAAAAAAATAAATGAAATTGAGAATCTGACTGGTAGAATAATTAACAAATTGCATTGTGATAACAGTAAAGAGAACATGAATAAACATGTTTATCAGTTAGCTAGAGAAAAGGGGATAGTTTTGGATGCATGCCCTCCTTAAGTGCATGAATTAAATGGTACTGCTGAAAGATATAATAGATCAATCATGGGCATGACGCAATGTTTATTAGGCAAGAGCTAATGTGAGATATTGGCCAGAAATTGTTTGCCCGGCTGTATACCTTAAAAATAGAACATTAGCAAATACTACTGAAAGACAGACACCTTATGAAGTATTATTTGGAAAGAAACCAAACTCAAAATATTTGAAATTGTATGGGAGTGGAGTGAGTGAGTGAGTGTGAGTGTGTGAAAGAGAGAATTTAAGAAGATAACTGGGATTGAAAAGCTGATTGGGGAATCTTGTTAGGCTACAACAAAGTTGGGTAGAGAGAAGTAGTAGATAAAGTAATTGTTGCGAGACATGTTGATGTGGCAGAGAAAAACGTAAAATGTATTGGTTTTAGCAGACGTAACTCAAAAATGGATTCAAATGAATCTTACAGGATTCTGAGTACAAAAGTGAAGAAAGTAACTCAACATTGAATGACTGACTAAACGATCAAATGCAGAGTTCAAGTAG